ACAGGGAAGCATCCAACAGTACTGGCTAAACAAAATTAAACTGCTACTTGAACGCGCAGATCTGGGAGACGACTCTTCGGAGATGGTTGGAGATAGAGGAACACAGATAGAACAGCTAATTTCTAATTGTTTCGGATATTACGGAGATATCCTGGCAGGAACTGCCGAAAATGTTCGCTGGTGGCACAAATTTATACGAGTTGGGTAAGGCGTTGTGGACGTTATGATCACGGCCTTAGAAAGGATGCGAAAGTGTGATACCCCCAGGTCAGAGTTGGGGGTTGAATAGATAGAAAGACTCGAATAGCAATGGCATCTGTGTGGTTTGGGGTAGTAGGGAAGATTGTTTCTACATCCTTTGATATTGCTGTGCTACCGAAACATAGAAAGGAAAGAGGATGGGAAAGGGGAACTACTTACAACATAGAATCGTAACGTTCACCCAGATCAAATTAGGTGATAATAATAATAATAATAATAATAATAATAATAATAATAATATAATTGCCCCTTTATTAATGGGCGAAGCTCAGCATAGGGCCTGCTCTTCCGCCTAAACCACTGAATTTACATACTTTAGAGTAGTAACATTTTCAGAGGGGAGGACAAGCTGTACATTTACGTTGGGAGACAAATCTAGGGACCATCCCGGCATACGGCCGTAAGCGATTGAGTAAACCAGAAAAACCTCAATCAGGATGGCGGATTAGGGCTGAACATTAATAGGATTGAGTATGTTATAATGAGTAGTAAGGAAGTTCGTGAAAGAGAAAAGAAAAGACGTACAGGGAAGGGGTCAAAAAGTATAAATGATAAGTTTGTGAGGAGAGGGAAGAAAAAAAGCGAAGAAAAGGACGAAGAAGAAGTAGGCAAAAAAGTGAAGTTATTTGAGGAACGTTACAGAAAGCTACGTTTAGTTTACAGTAGCACTTTACATAAATATACAATAATTTTTACACAGAGAGAGCACAATACACTATAAGCTAATAAAAACAGTAATTTTAAACACAATACTGGCAGTATTAAGGAACATAAAAAAGTGCGGGTATCTTAACATCAATTTTGTTTTTGCCAATATATTGTAGTGAATATCCTGATGATGGTACAAAGATAGCTACAAGTATATTTTATCTGGAACCGTCACTAATACTTTGTATATTTTAATAACATTTCATTAGGGTAGAGTAAAAGAAAAGTAATGATGCTCATAATTTAGATGTGAGAGGAATGGAAGATGAGGATAGAGCAATGAGGTATGGGGTAGAATATTGAAATAAAGAGGGGGAAAGTACGGTGTTTAACGGGGGCGGTGACCGGGCGCTTGGAAGTGGGGAGAAGTCTGGAGATTGAAGAGACGTTAACGCCGTTCTATATTCGTTATTCCTTTACCCATGTGGTTAATCAGCTTGGAATTTTCCGAAAGTATTTAAATGCTTTTGTCTCGCTGGTAATCTATTCCAGGCTCGGATAGCTGTAATGGTGAATGATTTTACTGAATGAAGTCTGTTGTGACGGTGGTACACAAAGCAGGGCTGATTCACGAGCTCGATTTAGTTTCAGAGGATTGAAGTTATGAGCGTGTTGCATGAGAACCGTTAAAACTTAATAAGAAGAAGTAGAGAGTGTAGTAACCGTCTTTTGTCTAGAGTAAGCATACGAATTTCTGTCAAAAATTCGGATACATGGTCGTATTTTTCGTAGTCAAAAATAAAAACGTACGCATGCGTTCTGGGCTACTTGTAGTTTACGTTGTAATTTGAATGTTTTAGTGTGGTCAGAAGAAAGTCGCAATAGTCGAAATGTGGCATGATAAGTGATTTGATGAGAGTTCACGTGTGCTACCTGGTAAAAGTGCTCGCAGGCGTTTCAGAGACGTGCATTAGTGATAATAGGATTCACCTCATGGAAGAATTAAGAACATTCCTAGAAAAGGCTTGGATCATTAGGGAAACAAATTATTGGGTGGGAAAATAGCACTGGTTAGAATGAGCGGAGCCAACACTGTAGAAGAAATAAATAAGCTAATAAGTAGATTTCAGCCAAAAGTCATCTACAAAATGCTCTTAAAATGTTTTTAAAATGCCCTAAAATCAAAGAAAAATGAAGTAAAAAATGCATCAAAACCAGTTCAGATGAGCAACTCAAGCTGATGGGTGTTTCTAATGTAATCGAGAGTTCTTCCTTTCGTTCAAGTAACCTCAGCTTTTAAAATTTGGTTTGGGCTGTTCTTTACCACGATTTCTCTGACTCTGTATCAATCAGGAAATCGGCCGAACAGACAATAAAGCTGGAACCACCGGCGTTACAGGAACCGTAGATTAGATACAAACGCTGATATTACAATATTTCTGACCGAAGAAATCGAGTAGGCTATTCAGGAATTGTGGAAAATATTTGTTGCATCTTGTAAAGGTTATTTGAAGCAAGTACCATTAAAATTATATTAAAATCAATGAAATCGGCAAAAAATTATTTAAAAATGACGGGAAAAGCCAAAAATGGCTTATTACTCGAAATCGACGAAAGAAGCAAAAACAATGTCATGAAAATGGTTAATTGCATTTTGTTCCAAAAAAATTAATGTCTATACGAAAAGGCATAGTCTTAAAGTAAAAAGAAAAGAATGTCATTTCATTAAAATCCACCTCCCTTTAATAAGTAAACAATTAATAATTTTAATAAGTAATACACTTAAGTTAGTAAATTAATAATTAAATATGTCATTATATAATAAGTAAATAAAGATACTTATTGAGTAGATGAAGTAGATGAGTAAACAAGTAAATAAGCGCCTTAGTAGGAAATAAGAGTGCATATCCGAAAAGTAAGCGCAGAGGAGGCGGTGCGGAGAATCTGCTGTGGCCCTGTTCGATTGCAGGTGCTGAGGAGGCCAAAGACCGGAAAGAGAATGTGTGACGTCCGCGTCAGGAAATATAATGTTTAGAACCATTTTGGTAGATTAACATGTACTCGTCTTCTGACGGCGACTTTGTTCCCCTTCAGGGCTTTTTCTCATTCTACCTTATGGTCTCTTTTCCGCGACTTTAATGGGATGGAGAGACCATTTGAGAAGAATGCCAGAGTTCCAAAGGTTCACGGTAGGGTGTAGATGTTGTAATGGCTTAAAGGCCTTTGACCTATCTGTGTAGTATCAAGCCATTGAATTTATGTGTGTAATAATTACCTATTAAATACTAATAACTTACTTTCTGGATATGAAAAACATTTAAATTTCCAAAAATTGTCAACACAAATGTTCAATTTTAGTTTAGTTTCAAAGCTTCGAAGAGGTTGTTTTTATATCCGAGACGGCGGTGTAGGCCTATCGTGAATTGCGTACTAAATCTAAAAATTAGCGATTGGACCCCAGGGAGCAAGCAAATTTGATAGTAGAAAACTCTTTTATTTATTCAAGTAATTTTCTAATATTGCCTAGCCATTGCAATTAATGTGTGAAAGCTTTTGTAGCATCTGTTGTATATTTAGGAACAATTAAGAAGACAACAGTTCTTATCAACAATGCAGGCTTGTTATTCCGAATCCAAAAGCACAAACCAAGTACAAGCCAGTTTACCGTTTTCCAAAAGAGGTCTCTTTCACAAACACTAATAATCAACCACCTGGAGAAATACCGTTACCAAGACCACCCTAGGAACATCGATTCTCACTGCTCTCGTTCGCCGCACTCGGACTGTCACACTCTCCGGCCCCGCGGGTCGGCTACTTTATAGCTCCCGAGCCTGCGGGGCGAGTCTCCTTTTTTCCCGCGCCGTTCTGGCTCAATGGGCGGCCCGGCCGCCGCTACCGCCCTGCCCCCTAGCGGCGCCTCCCAGCACCTTCCATTGCTGGGCCTGACGCTCAGTCGACCGGTGCCAGAGTGCCGCCGGTCTCTCCGGCGCGCCGCTGGGCCGCTGCTGCGGCCCTATCTGTTTATGCCATAACAGCATCACTAGATATTTTTCGCGCCAACTGTGTAGCACTTACGTAGTAAACGAAATATTGTAATGTTGCAGAGGAAATGGCAAACTCTTTGACAGAAAAACTCGTCTTGTGGCTCCCTGATAACGAAAATCAGGAAATTGTTTGCTTCTTCGTGTAGAAAATTACTTCCTTTAACACCCTGTACAATCATAATCCATTCTTCGTGAGTTTTGCATATTTCAAAATTGTTTTAGAGCAAAATGGTTTTTTGATTGATTGATTGATTAGTGATTCTGGTTGCGTTAATTGCATCCATATGCATAAGGTCATTCGTCCCGTAAGTGTGTTGCGGGAGGTGATGTGATTTTCTCCTACTAGATGGCGAGATCCAGCGCCGACAACCCTGCCAGCTTGCAGTATTTCCTCAACCAGGTATCCCCCACCAGCGTGGCACCGCCCTAGCCGGGACAAACGATAAGTGTAGGCCGTTTTCCAAACTGTATACTTTTAGGACGATCCGGCTTCATTCGAAGCTGTCAGGTTTTGAATAACATTTATTAATTTTCTGGGTACTTCGCATGAAGCCTCTGGGACATTTTCAAAAGTTTTTTAAAAATGGATCCACATGTTTTCTTTAAATTTCTTGTCAGAATGTAGTGAAATAAACTTATAAAGATACCATTTCAAAAGTTATTTTAGAATGAGTGGCATAATTTTGTCTGCTAAATAATAGTCTGTGGATATTTCTTTCGGGCTATTAAGCCGTTACCAAGTTGAAAGAATCCAGTCTTCAAACCGTTTCGTCTACACTTGCGGCACACATCCTCGGTGGGCGCAGCAATATCCTGACTTCTGACTGGTCAGTCAGAATGATGTTTGGAGAACATCTCTGAGGATGTTTGTACCGGGTAGACGAAACGCTCAGAAGCACTATTTCCTCTAAATGTTTTCGGAAAGCCATATCTATATTGCCGCCGGACAACAAATAATCACTGTTTCATTGTATTGTCTTTGTTTTAATGTTCACTATGAGGGAGAATTAACGAGAGAATTGTTTTGCACGAACTTCCTCTGTACAGAAGTACAATATGGTGGACGTGACGAAGACATCGCATTGGGAGCACTTCCCTTACGACGAGGTGACCTTGCAGGAATTCTGGGACGAGGCTACCTTCAACACCAGCGAAGTGCTCATCTCCACTGCTCTGCACGAGCTGCCAGACAGTAAGCCTCGCTCCCTCCACGCACTTGACTCCTTCGCACTTTGCAGCCGCCACATGCAAATGCCCTTCCTTACCCTAAGGTTCTGTGAAACAACAAACGATTAGTTGATCAACTGCAAAGGTCTCCCGTAATGAGTCTCGTAAGTGCATGTTTTCATCATTCGTCCCTCTCCGGAAGACGAAATCCGGCGCCGACCTACCCTTCCTTCCGGTCGTCGTTTTCCCAAACCAGGCATCTTCCACAAGGTTCGCACTTCTAAGCTCCCGACTGCTCCCCCAGCATGTGGGGTGGACTAGTGCATAAAAATGTAAATGTGTGTGGCGGGTAAGGGTAGGAGAAAGAAGAGGAAGGTAAGATCAAAGGAAAGGTCTATGGCCCTTTTGATAGGGTAGTGCTTCGGCATTCGACTGGTATTTATCGCAGAAACTACGAACAGAGCAGACGGACGCGAGAGTTCTCTTACAGAGAGCGGGTGACTTCGTCCTAGCTATCTAGTTAGTGTCGAAAATCCTGCCTCTGTTGGAACTCGAACCTTAGAGGTCAGAGGCACTGCTGTGACATCAGTTGATTCTCTGGGCCACCAAAACCGTTTTGGAGTGAGTTTTAGGTTCAGGGACGGGTTATAAGAATGGATTTGAATTTTAGGAGATTTGCAAAGTAGAGCAACACCGGGTAGGATCGCCTACATTTATTTCAATTGGCGGTTGTCCTTCCACTTCCTTATACGGCGTGAGCCATTCATTCGACACGTGGGTGTGTTAAATAAGTAGTTTCTCTTTAGTCGCCTTCATTTAGCTCTCCCCAGATTAAAACATGTTTATTAATGAGAAGTCTGAGCAATTGGATGGAGATAATTTAAAAAGAAAGAAAATTTGAAATGAAAGAAACTCAACGCACACTATTTTGTAAATATTATCCGTTGATTCATCATTAATGTAAACATTTAATTTTGCCCCATCATTTTGGACTAGTTACCAATAATCTTATAAGGAAATTACAAGTGGCCTATTGTCAAAACAGGATTCTAACACAGATATAGAATGTGAAGAAAACAGAACTAATTTCGTCGTGTTATCTCTGATTGTTCCCTTGAATTTTTAAATTTTGGATGTTCTTCTAGAGAGTGGGGATTTCTCCCCTCCACGGAAAATGTTTTCTGTGATCAGGTGTCGTCATCAGTGTTTTACATAGGAATCATCAACTGGGGTATCATCAGAACATTTAGAAGTGAGGTAAATTGTTAAGTCAATCTACTTCAGTAAGATATGGGTGCGATGAGCTGTAATTACGTAATTATTTATTACTTACATTATTGAAAAAAAATATACATATATTTTATTTATTGTATATTTAGTCGTCAAAATGTTTAAAATGAAGTGTTAAGAAATAATACCATCAGTGATGAAATAAAAGTGACGCGCTTATCAAAATCAGCGCTTATCACCGAGAATAATGCATGAAAATGGATGGTTCCAACCAGTCTGAAATGAAGGAAGGAAGGAAGCCGAACATTTTTGAGGTGAGTCCAGAGTGAAAAAGCGTTCCTGGAAGACTCCAAGAAACAAGGGAAACATATATAGCAGAAATGTGCTGTAAAAGTGGTACAAAAATACGAGTACAAGGCACAACACATGAGAGAATACGTCAAATGGCTAACTCGACACTTATAAGGCATAAAGGAAAGCAGCAAAGAAATACAATGTTTATAATCTATACGTTGCGATGATTCGCAAATATAATATTTTCAAATTTTTTATAAGCTGTGCATGGCCTTACACATAAATTGATGTCTCTTCAACGTTTCACTTTCCCAAATTATTTTTAGATTTCAAATGCAAAACAGTTGTGTATAATTAGGCCCGTATAAAATACATTTTCTACGTCGTATTTGGTATCATCTTTATCCCACCGCGTGGAGAGTGTGGGTGTCCTTAACTTTTCTGGGGGCATAGTAGTTAAAAATGGGCCGAGGTCGCACACCCCGTGGGGTGACCCGGGGACCCACGTGTGACCCATCGTCTGAGTTTCGCTCAGAGCCACCCTTGCCGTAGTGTCTGCAGCTACTCCGATCGGAGGTCGTTGGGTTCGAGTCAAGACGCGGGCTGACTTCCGACACTGGCTGTACGAATATAGCTAGGTACTAGTAGAATTCAGTCGCTGATACAGCGTCCGACTGCTCTGATCGATAGTTTTCCGTGGTTTCTCCGATCAACACTAGGTGAATGCCGAAAGGGTACCTTTACACACGGACCGCTCTTTCTCTTCCTTGTTCAACTCACCCATTACTTTCGCACATACACACATACATGGATTATTCTATCTTACATGTCGGAACGCCAGTACGTATCTTAGAGGTACCTCGCTGCAGGCAAATTCCTGCAGGGGGAAATACCCCGCAAGCCGACGTGTATGTCGGTGCCAGCGGGATAAAACATTAACCACCCATTAGGGAGCAGTGGCCGCAGCAGCGGTCGTGCATCAATGACTGAGTGAGTGATGCGTGGCCCCTGCTGCGCAGACGTGGAGGTGGTGCCGCGCACCTTCCTGCAGGCGGGCCGCTGCCTGTCGGTGCGGCCGCACGGGCCGGGCGCCGAGCACCCCGAGCGGGACGCGCGCCAGGGCTACTCCATCCTGCTGGGCCACGGCCGCAACGCCCCGCTCGGCGACCCCACCACCGGCTGGAACGTCTACGTGCACGAGGCGGACCAGCCCTTCATCGGTAAGCCCCGCCCCTCATCTTCCACTTCGGGTCGCTTTCTTCCGCTCCGGGCCGCACCCGACCAGACCCGACAACATCAGATCAGATCACATCACATCACGTCGCATCTCGTCGCATCACATCACATCACATCACATCAGACGAGACGAGATGAGATGAGGTCAGGCCAGGTCAGGTCAGGTGGGGTCATGTCGGGTCATGACGGGTCAGGTCGGGTCAGGTCGGGTCAGGTCGGGTCAGGTCGGGTTAGGTCGGGTCAGGTCAGGTCAGGTCAGGTCAGATCTAATCGGACCGGACCGGACCACATCAAGGCCCATTTCGATCCGCAGCGTCTTATTCAATGTCGCAACACCCAGCCCCGTTCCAATATTACTTCTAAACTGACTACTTTATACTAAAATGGACTTTTTGAAATAATATTAATTGCAGATTTGAAAAAGGATCCGAACACCAACAAAAATTAGATGAAATAAATAAATTGTTGGTTAAATTAACTATCTGATTGAAATATTAAACAATTGACTTTTTGTATTTTTGCATACAGTAGTGTCCTTATTATTCCAGACAATCAAAAATTTATTTTTAGATTACTTATGTTGTATTTGGGTTAACCACTACGTTTCGCGACACATTTGGTCGCATCTGCAGGTCTACTGTAAAGAAACCTATTTTTAGAATTCTTAGTCAACGTAATTTGTCAGAATGTAGGTTTATGATCCGAACATTAACTGTCATTAAGTCCAAAATTGAATTCCCGATTACAAAAAAAATATCAAGTTGTGAGTTGTTTGTGATTATATCATTTTGTTTAAACAAAGGTATCATATTATATTTATACATTGATTCTTTAGATTACATGATCCATTTCGAACATCTACGATAAGAACCCTACGTCTGGCAACACTACCTAACATGTTTATAATATTTCCAGGAAATTCCAATCCATTGTTTGAGAAAGTGACATCTCGTCAAATGAAGCGCGGGAAATTGGAATTTGCAATTTCGAAAATTTAAAATTATACTAACTAATATTTTCAAAAACATTGAACATGACCTTTGATTCTTTAGAACAGATTTCATTTAACAAAAAATCTCTATCATCAATTTTGTACTTTCGTAATGTTAATTTGTTATTGTTTGCAATTTTGTAAATTCTCAGAGTTCAACGAAAATGTAACCAGTATAGAATATGCAGTACAGAGTACGTTCTCATCCAATGTACAGTACACAGTATTGAGAAAGAATAGAAATACTCCAGGGGAAGAGAGAAAAACTCTTTTTGCCAGACTCTTATAGCGAAGAGAATATTATTGTTCCTATACCTATTAAATTACTTCCTTTAACACGTGGTGTAGGTAATTTATATTTTCTGGATTCTTAATACCGAAAAATCGGTCGACCGCAAGACGTCTGTTGGTGTTTGCCTGTCGCTGTGCTACCGCTTAAACTCTCCAGAGAATTTTTTTCCAAAATCGATTTTGCTCCACCGATCTGAACGAACTGTGGACCCTACGATTTTGAAACGGTTATTTTGATTTTTGAGTGTACTTTATTTAAAACAAACATTTTCAACATATTCTCAAAAAAGCTCCAAAATTTCTTATTGAACTTTGGAGAGCCTATAGAACTCTTAAAGAAATGGCGGAATGATTTTCGTTGAAACCTCTAATATTTTTAATATTGCTAATGTTGGAGTTTTTTTGACGACTTCCTACAATAATAATGAAAATAGCAATGATTTTTCATGAAATATGTTCATAAAAAGAAAAAAAATATCTTCAATAAGGTCATGTTGAATTTTTTGAAAATATGAGTAATTTTTACTGTTTTTTGTCAAACAAGCATTTTTATTTTCTTTAAACCATTTTTTCTTAAAAACAGTACCGCATTTTTTATTAAATTTGGCTCTTAGATAGCGTAAAGGACGCTTAAGAGAATGGTTCCGTTCTCATGTTCGTTGAAATCACTGATTTTTCAAAAATTGAAAATATTTTTGAAAAGTTCGGCATCTTCCTGCAATTGCAATTGAGAAGATACTATTTTTTCATAACGAAATGTTTTAATCAAAAACAGATTTGTAAATAGGACCATGTTAAATTTTTCGAAAATTTGAGTATTTTGTGTGTAATTTGGAGTCAAACGTCGCTTGTTTCGAATTTCCTGGTCTTCATGAGTCTGTAATTTGAGAAGTGCGAGGTAGTTGGATGCTACATAAGTTATAATTTGTTTATTATTTCATATTTCTTTGTTCGTTTCTTACATTCAAAGCTTTTGTTAAACGTTTACAAATCAATCTTTTAGATAGTATTTAAACCCTATTTGATTAACCATATTTTTTTATTCGTATTGCAAGCAATCGTATTTGCATTCACAATGTATTGATATATACAGAGTGTCCGGGAAGGAAACGTCGAAATTTCACCAATAATATCCTAAGACAATGTTAAGCATATTTGTCTAATAACCTACTGGAATATTCCGATATATAATCCGATAATATAAAAGAAAAAATACTAGCCTTCAGAAAATAGTTGAATGCAACAATGGCCTTCTGCCCAGCGAAACGGGATCTGTAGTTTTTTTCCCACCTGATGTTCTACGATTTTTATAGTTTCACAAAAAATGACTGAGATGTGTTAATTTGAAGAGAAGTTAAGATGTAAATAGTATTACATAATCAAGACTAAGAACGAGAAAGTATTGGTGTTTTAGCAAAACTAGATTATATTCGTTATCATTTGAAATTATTTTGCACATTCATCTAAAGCATTTAAATATCTTTTTTTTAAATACCGGATTATATCAGTTTCATTACGCGAGTAATAGATACATTCTGGTGAGAGTATCACTTGTTCTTTCGACGCTTTGTTTTGAATTTTTAAGTATGATTCACTATTGACATTTACCATTATCATTAGGAGACGAAGGAAACATTCCGAAAATGGATGCAAGATCTTGCGGCAGACCTGCTTCAACTATCGATTTTTTCTTCCCTTGCTTGGGTCGACGTTCGTTGAATGCGTGGGGAAAAATTATGTTCTTGTCAGGCCGTGAGAGAAAATAATCTCTCTACTACTAACGACATGCACGCAGGAAATGAAATGAAGCCGTGGAAAATAATTTCACATCGTAACACACATCCCTTGGAACATTCCCACAAAATTCTTTCGTTCTTGTGATGGATGACATGCAAGACATATCTAAATGAGTGGTGCTACAACACATAATTTTTCGAATTATTACCATCAGCTAAAACAGGGTTGCCAGATTTGTCTTAATTTCGCTTTTGGGGCTGGAAAACGTGTCTCTCTTTTGCGAGATAAGAATTTATTTCGCGGAATACCGCCCAACGGGAGGAAATGCATCAAAACATGTGGGATTTTGGGCGAGTTTTCAGAAATAAAAAAAAAACACAACGACGTTGTCAGTGAGTTTGTTTTTTTAGTTTTTTACATTATACATGATTTTTCATTAATCATTTGTTAGTTCGTTGAAATTTACTTTGAGAAGTGTTAAGTGTTGAGTGAGTAATGTTCGATTTTAGATCTCTAGTATAGGGTGTGTTCTAAAAGGCATAGCGTCTTTGTCGTGCACAACACGAGTATATAATACATCACATTGGCAGTACTTGAAGTTAATTTTAGAAGACGCCATTTAAAATTAGTCATCTTTTGTAAGTGTAGATTCACTTCCAGCATTTTTTATTAAGCCATAGGGAATAAGCATGCATATGTAAGCATTTCTGTGGTAATCTTTTTAAGTGCGGATATTGAAGAGGAGCAAGGAGTAAAAATAAGAAAGTGGGGAAATTATTTTATCCCTTATAGTATTTCTCCAATCTGCTGTGTTCATAAGAATAGTCATAACTAACTTTTAAATATTAAGATATTACTCATTATTTAAAAATATAAGATTTAGATAAATATTATTACTATTGATTACAATGTTCACAAACGAAAAGATAAAACTAATCAAGCATTTCGCACGGTTACTATCTCAAAAAAGCTTCTAATATAATTGTTTTAATGCAAATTCAAATTTCTCGCTTCAAATGTTTACTTTTTCTTATTGGGAGGATTTACAGCCATCTAAATACGGATGTTTGTACGAAACATTTGGCAACCCTGGCTACGAAATCCTTTCCTAACCAGCAAAAATTTTTCCAATCTGCATTTCATGCTGGGATCCTATCCCCGCTGGGATTCTACCCCCGGAGGACACCGGGATTCGAAATCAGGCTATAATTTTTAGCACGTCTTTCACATTACCCGAAACACCACAAGATTCACAGGTAAACACAACCTTCCCGACATTTAAATAAACTTGAACTTTTGCACTGGACATTTGAAAAGATTCAGAAATTTTCATTGACATTATTTCAATATCTAATTTTAAAGAACAGATTTCACTGCGGGAAAATATCTACAATATTATTATTAATGATGATGTAGGAAGACGGCGAAAAAAATTGATATTTCCGTAAATTCAGTGCATTCAATGAAAATCGGACCTGCACACTTTTGCGCTAGAGCAAGAGACTAAAACACTAAATTATTAAAGGTTTTTTTAGAAAGTTTTTAAAATGTTGAGATTTCATGTTTAATATACCACAATATCTGCTCCAAATTCAAGGGGCAATTTTCGTAAATATCCTGTTTATGGTTTAGTTGGTTGATATTGTGGGCGAATATCGTGGGGCCGTCGGAATGACATTGTCCTTCGCGAAATGTTCGTCATTTCAAATTACAACCTTTGAACGATCCTGGTTCATTGAGGACCACTGTCTGGAGAGGTTGGGAGAGAGAATTCCTCTGGTCAGTAATTATCATCTGCATATGAGTACTGCAGATGGCTTTTTCTACCTGGTCAAAAGAGATGGAGGACTGGGATTGCTGCGGCTCGCCAAACACGTTTCTAGAGTTGCTCTGAACCTAGGATTAGGATTAGAAAAATCAGCAGATCCTATTTGTAGATGGTTAGCAGCCTGTTCGAGTTTCTAC